ACTATTTCTATAGAGGAAAAGGAGCGCATGGAGAACACTCTCATACAAGAACTTATTTCAAGTAGCTAAAAAATCAAATTTGAACTTTGCTTTGCTTTGTTAAAATAAAACATTTTAATGTATAAAGAACTATCTGTTGTTGGGCTGAAACTTCTGCTGAAAAAAAAACTCATTCGAAGGGGAATCGGAAGAAGGGTTGTAAATGCGCTGGATGGAATGTCAACGAGGTTCAGAAAGTGGACGATCAAATTTGTTAATTTTAAAAATAAAACTTTTCTCATGACTATAGTGACTAAGAGCTCAGTACTGGATTACATTATCACGTCTACTTTACCGCAGAGCCGTACTTTGTGATTTTCGAATGTGTGACAGAAAAGACGGGAGAAATCATTCTTCCTACATCCCTTTACCGCACTTTAGTACTAAATGCAAGATGTGAGAAGATATATCTCGCAAGCTCCTGTCTTATTAAAAGTGTGTTATTTGACCTCAATTACGTGCTGAACACTAATGATGTACAAGTATAGACGATAAAGAGGAAAAATTAAATGAAAAAAAAAACTCTCAGAGAGCCCAGTTTTGATAAAAATCATATGTAGAAATATTCGGTCCCCTTTCCAAACTAGAGCTCGCTTCAACTTCTAAAGTTCTCATCTCAAAAGCTAAGAAGCAAAGAGGAACGTGCACTTCTACGCTTTTCCTTTCTTCACAGCATGAATGCGACAAATTGCATCAGCGTCGAGCATCGAGTACAGCACTAAGTGTTGATAGCTAAACGACTTTTGACTAAAAAACTTGCAATTCTGCAAATGCATTAGTGTCAAAACTTCTAGTGGCAAGCAGCTGTTACTACACACTCACTATAGTGCACTTAAAATATAGGTGTTGTAATCTACAACATGGCTACGACAAAATTTATGAATAGCACAGGCCCTGAAAAATCGGGATTTCCTCGAAAATTTTTTTTTCAAAATTCGATTCAATCAAATAAATATGAAGAAAACGAAAAATTATGAATACAAAATGAAACTGTGAATAAATAAAGTGAGTGAATATGAACAAAAAATTGACACGGAAGGTGCGTCGAAGTAGTATTAGATTTTCCCATACTTTTTATTTCGGGGAAAAAAGCTAAACTTGATCTTTTAAATTAGAGCTTGAGCAACTATTAAATAGAGCATAACAAGCTCTACAAGACCAGGATGACTTTCGAAAAATTGCCAAAGGTTAGATAGACGTGAAGTTTGAAGCCGAAATTCAATTTCAAATGCCCGAAAAATCCGATCTCAGCCCAGAAAAACTACGTTTTTAAGCTAAATTGTAATTTTTCGGAAAGCAAAGCACGTAGAAAGCTGAAACTATTTATATAATGGTCTCAGGTTCATACTGTAGATCTGCCTTTGTAGGAACGGCCCAGTATAGCTTTTACGAAAACATGCAAATTTCTATTTTCTCGATTTCTAGCAAAGGGAAAAATACAGCAAGTGTATGTATTAATGTCTGATACAGAAATTATATACTAGTACAAGTTGGAAGTTCGTAGGATTTCATGGACGGTTGATTTTTTTCAATTTTTTGGGCATTTAGATCTTTTTAAATTTCGGATTCGAACATTCGGATCCTAGTTGCGGTGGATATTTGAACGTCATCTTGCGAAGATTGCTTTACTCTATCGAAAGATACCCCGATTACCATGAGAAAATCACGAAGAAATGGCTTATGACAATAAAGAATAAAATATGAAAAGATTTATGGGATAACTTAACAGTCTTAAGGTAGCAAGCATCCATCATGCATCACAAAGAATGCTA